CCCTAAAGGCTTAAAAGCAGTGGCCTGGAACTAAACTTCTCCCTCCATTTGAAATACAGTAAACTTCCATTTTCAACCCTGAGAAGTAGCTAATTTCTCCAATGACAGAGTGACCACGGAAGGACTGACTGCACAGAAGAAAGATGACCAACACCAGGGGAATTACGGTCGGCACAGACTCCAGCAGAAGCAAGGTTCACATTGATATTTCTCCTTCTCTAGTTCTTCTGGCCAACTCTGAAGAAAAAGAAGTACAAATCCATCCCCCAACCTGCAGGTATAAGGCAGAGCTCAGATCAACCCCCTGAGGGGACTCCCAAAAAGATGAGAGAATTCATTTCTCTTCCATGGGAGTGATCAAAGCCTGGCTTCTCCTTGCTGGGACCCCTGGAATCACAAGGCTGCTACTCTCATGAGGACAAAACGTATCTGGACCACTTTTCTCCACTCAAAGGTCCGTGATTTCCTTCCCATTGAAAACTCAAACAAAGCCCTTGAGACAATAGTTCACTAGGTTCAAAACAAACAAACAAAAAAAGCAGACCATCTTCTAAGCTTCCACTCCCACGTGAACTCCAGTACAGGTAAATTTAAATCACAGTAACTTTGGGAAAGCAGTCCACAACAAATATTTTAACTCATCTTTTTCTTATTGTAAACATGTGTATTTTTCTTGGAAAAGACATAAGTGTATTTTGCATTCTTCATACACAGATATGTGAAAAATAACTGAATCTGGACACTGGCTTGGAAAATGGTCTGGTTAGGGGAATAACTTGGCACCAAATTTCTGACAATGAAGACAGCTTCCAGGATGATTAAATGACTGCTCTCTAAACATTATGCAGAAATTGACACAACATTGTAAACTGACTATATTTCAACTAAAAAAAAAAAAAACCTCTGAATTAAAACAAACAAATAAATAAATAATTGCTTTCCAATCTAGGGGCAAAAAAAGAACTCAGAGGCCATCATTTGAAAAATAAGTGTTACAGGTTTTTTTTTTAAATGATAAAAGAATATGGGAGAAAAATAATAAGCAGCAGATGTTTTGGTTCTTATAATCTGTACCCTCCAATATGGTAACCAGCAGTCACACCACCTAATTCTAATTCAAATGAATCAAAATTTAAAAAAATTTAGTTCTCACTTGTCTTAGCTACATTTCTAGTGCTCAACAGCCACATGCGGGTAGTGGCTAGAGCAGATTTAGAATATTTACATCTTTGTATAAAGTTAAATTGCAGAGCATTGCTCTAGAGCTATTTTTATGTTTTTTTATTTTCTAAAATGATACTGATGCTTGTATCTGTTTCCTGTTGCTGCTATAACAAGTTACCAGAAACTTGGTGGATTGAAAAAAACAGAAATTTGTTCTCTCACAGTTTTGGAGGCAGGAGTCCCAGATCAGTTTCATTCATCGCGCTGAAGCCAATGGGTCGGTCAGCTGGACCACAATGCCTCTGGAGGCTCCAGGGGAGGGTCTGTTCTGTTTCTCCTCCAGTTTCAAGTCAGCTCACATTCCTTGGCTTATAGCCTCATCACTCCAGGGCCATATCTCTGCCTCTGTGGTCACACTGCCCCCTCTTTCCTGTCTGTGAAATCCTCCGCCTACCTTTTATAAGGATGCATGGGTAATGCATGATAATCTCCATGTGTAAAGACCATTAACGTAATTACACCTGCAAACACTTTGCCTTAAGAAGTAACTTTTACAGGTTCCAGGAATTATGACCTGATATCCCTGGGAGCCATTATCCAACTTACCACAACCCATTACACTGCTATTTTTCAACTTCTACCTTACTTTATGTTGCCAATTTATCATTTACTTTACCGGCATCTATTGGTATAAGCGTTGATACAGTTTTCCAAAGTATATGATATTTTCCCCCAGAGAGGCTTATACACTAGAAAAGTCTAGCTTTCTATATAGCTTCACACATTTCTCCTTCCTGTCCTGTGATTGCCAAGGTCCAGGCTTGATGGAAAATCTCATAAGAGCACTAACTCAACATTTTACAAAGCTACTTGAAATGACTGTAGAACATGCTGCCATATTTTAAGCCAGACTTGAGTCAATGGACTATGAGCCTTTTGGCAAGCTGGTTTTACCCTTTATCGTGGATTCTAGAGTAACTTCATTGACAGTGTCAGTTTTCAAATGATTGCTTTTAAAGAAAGTCGTCTCAAAAATAAGATGCATGTTTAGCTATCATAATGAGAACGAGAAAAAAAAAAGACATGGTTGGCTGTAAAATGATTAGAAAACAGATAAACAAAAGACAACCCAGTAGAAGCAATGGGCAAGGTTCTTGAACAAACCCTTCAAAGAAAAAGGTATACAAATTACCAGTAAACTGAACATCTTTAAAAATCGGGAAAATGTTCATTAAACCTAAACTGCAATTAAAGAATGGCTAAAACTTTCAAATCACTACTAAATGTCTGAGTTCGTAGAGCAACTAGGAAACTCTTGTACGATGATTTTTGAGGATCTAAATTGATACAACCACTTTGGGAAAATGTGTCATCATTAACAAAGTTAAACACACACATATCTTAACTCAGTATTGCCCCTTCTGAGGCCTACACCCATGCGAAATGTTTATAGCAGTTCTATTGAAATAGCCCCAAACTGGAAACAACTCAACTGTTCATTGACATGAGATGAATAAATAATTGCAGACTATAAACAACAGAGCAATAATACTCATGAAAATAAATGCCTCAAACAACATGGGTAATTCTCACGAATATTATTTTGAACAAAAGAAGTCAGAGGAGAAATAATGCATATTTTATAATTCTATGTATATGAGATTTTAAAAAAGAAAAACAATCTACTCTATGGGAATACAAATCAGGTGATTTTTTTTTTACCTTTCACAAGTAGTAGTAACTGGGTGAGGACTCAGTGGATGCTTCTGGGGTGTCATGTAATTCATTTCGTGACCTGGTGACAGTGACATGGGTGTCAACTTTCTTAGAATTAAAGAGCTAAAAAGCAAAACAGTGGTAGGGAGCTCTGGTTGTACCACCAGCACGTCTGGCTTCCTTTTCAGCTCCATCACTCAAGGGTGTGAGCCTTCGGGCAGACTTTAACCCTCATTATTAGTATCCTAATAAACACTCGTACTAGATTAATCACTCCACTTTGTTTCCCATACCATGTTTTTCTTTTTCACTGTGATGTTACTAATACTTAGCATATTTTATGACCCATAAAATTACTCAAAAAATACTTATTAATAAAATAAATCACACACATCATGGTTTCCATGGAAAGTATTACTTATTTTTCATTTATGGAAACCCGAACATGCTCCTTAGAAATATATCATAGAGAAAAAAAATCACGTATCGTCTTGGCCTTCCCATCATGATGCTGACAGCTAGAATGCATGTAAACACAAGCTTCTGTGCCTGTCAATACCCAGACCACAGAGGAGAAAGGACCCAAATTTATGCTAGGGTTCATTTCTGGCTTCTCCTGAAACCTTCCTCCTCAAGATATACACACTCCTGAAGAACTAAATCTGTCTGCCTCTCTACTCATTCTATTTGCTATAATAAACTGATGACCAAATAAAATAAACACCTATAAATGTTTTAAAATGCTCTCCTTGGCCCCTTTGTAGTAACTAGCTCAGCTTCCGCACAATGATTTGCCCACAGATAAATAAAATATGATTTGGCCATCATTATAGCTACTAAATTCATACAGAGGTGAAAGGTCTCTGTGTCTTTTACTATCAACTGCAAAACATTTGGCTAATTTTTAAAAGCTGGCCCAACAGGACATTCACGTTTGCTGATTACAGTGAAGCTTCTGTTTCTATGGGCCTGTAGGAAGGGGCAGGGGAGAGTCTAACAGGAAACTCCTTGCATGAAACCGATACCCTAATTCACCGCCGGTCCACACCCAGTACCCCTCCTCCTCCAGCCCATGAGAACAGGAAGAAAAACTTCCTGGGAAGAGTGGGCTGTTTCACCAGAGAATTCATATTCCAAGGCCAGTGCTGGCAAATCATATGTTTGCAGACCGCATGTGTACTACCCAGGGGCTTCAAAGAGTCTCAAGTCATCTTTAAAGTTATTCTGTGTTAGTATTGCCTTCCTAGAAGCAAATAAGCAAAGATCAATCTTTCCAGAAGAAGCCACCATCAACCTTGGCCTGAAAGATGTTCCACAGATAAAGTTTAGAAGAAACATGTTCCAGTCAAGATGGACGAGCATAAAGATAAGGACACGGATATACAGGCAAGAAGGCTAAGAAGAAGGAAGAAAGGAAAGGAGGAGGAGGAGGAGGAGGGGGAGGAGGAGGAGGAGAAACCAAGCACCATCAGCAAAAATGAGCAGAAACAGTAGACAGAATTACAATCCCTAAAAATCCATATACTATAATCATTAGACACACACACACACACACACGTATTTAAGAAATACAAAAGAGTTATCTAAAGCGTGATTAAAGAAAAATAAGCTTTACCAAGTAAGCTTTTAAAAGGAAAAAAATAAAACAGAAAATAACAATTGCCATTAAACCTCACTGGTTGGCTTTCAAATAGTAAAAGGTACAGCTGAAGAGAAGTGGAAGGAAGTGCTTAAGAATGCTTTCAAAATCCATCACCAAGGGGCAAAAAGAGGGATAACAGTATAGGCTCCTACTTTTCAATATTTCACAAGACTCCAAACAATTTAGTTAGTAAGCTTTGCTGTTTTAGGCTATTGCACAAACACCATTTCCCAAATTCTCTACTTAAGATACTCTTAAGGTATTCCTATACGTGTGTTTCTGTAAACAAGTAAATACGCTTTATAACATACAAACAACCTATGATGTTTGTAAAGAAAGAGATGGCAATCTAGTGTCAGAAAAGGCAACTAGTATCACATAATTCAAAGCAAGGAAGTCGCTAATTCAATGAAGATGAGAAAGCCCCCCCGCCCCCACCCCCGGCTTCCACGACGAGCATCAGCAGGGCGGCACTCACAGTACGCGCAGCCGTAGACCTCGGCCCTCAGCCCGATGCGCCCCTCTGCGTTCCAGTCCAGGGGCACGATGCGCACGTAGCGGGCGACCACCGGGCGCTGCAGATCGTGCCGGACCACACTGTCGGCGTTGACGTTGCCAGGAAATGCCTGGAGAAAGACACGGGATCCAGAATCAGGGGGAGCGAACACTTCAGACACGACCGTGTGCCCTATGACCTGAAATAAACTTAAACTTTCTTATCCAACGGAGGGATTTTATATTCTCTAAACCATAAACAATTTGAAAAAAAAAAACTTCTATACTTTATTTGAAAATACGTCCTGTTTTAAAAAAAACTTGGCCAAAGTTTCCATGGGTCCTTTCAATATGTAGAATTGCACGCACGTGTTAAACACACACACACAAATGGCATTCACCGTTGTAGCCAATAAACATTTACATTACAAGCTCTACTGTTTCACGTTTAAATTACACAGTAAACACTTTTTCATAGACTCCAAGCATATTTCTTGCTTTTTAAAAAAAAATCTTCTCTGTATTACCTTCCCATGCCATTATTAGAAATCTGAATTTTTTTCCAACATCAGTTTGATAAAAAGAGCAATTGAATGTGGTGTGCAGAGGCCAGGGTCTTCTACCTTTTATTAGCATAAACTTATCTGAGGGGATCAGAAACATGTTTATTTCATTGCCCTTATATATTGAAGATTCTGTCAAAAAAGTCATTTTCCAGGAATCTTTCATTTTGAAAGTTCATATTTTCTCTCTCTCTATTTTTTCAGCAGAGAACACATGGATGTTCTTTGAGCAGGGCCATCATTCAGCAGCAAACATGTATAAAATCTCTCTTGCATAATAAGTACAAAGCAAGTTAATATGGGGGGGCACAGATACCACACTCGGAGAGAATCTCATAACAATCTAATAATAGAAAAGGTGTCAGTATACAATTAAATCTGAGGAAGATTTAAAGTGAGAGGCCATCATATTTTAGAATATGAGTTGAATGAGAAATGTATGTGTGTGCTGCTTCACACACAAACAGCTACAGTTTCACAGGCACATTCTAGCTGTCTCGATCTTGGAGAACTTGAGGTTTTGGAAAGCTAGATCCCCTTTGGTATTTGTTTAAAGAATTTTTTAAACTCTGAAATAATTTTAAAAACAGCACGACTTTTTTCATCACAAAAAGATACAACATGTGCACCGTGTCGCATCACTGGTGTGTTGTATTCTTGACCTGAGGTTTTGAATTTGCTTCTATATAAAATCAGGAGTTGTTTTAATCTCTTAAAAACTTCCCACAACTTTTAAAAGATGAAATTAATAAGAAGCAAATAAAGAGATAAATAAAAGGTACACAGTGGCTCTGAAACAGGAGGCTCTGGTTTAAATGCACACAAACGTCAGAGAGAGAAGTTGGTGGTAAAAGGTTTGTTGCTCTGACCTCACTCCCCAGTCGCACTCCTGGCCTCCAGAACACAGAATGTGTAATGTAAAACCTAGTAATACGGGGGGCATATTGAAGTATTTCCCCAGGACTTAAATATTTTATAGATTATTTGGATGGCCCCAGCTATCTGCACAACGGGTAATAACCTACAACATGTACCATTACATGCTTTGGAAATTAGGGTGCTCTTCAGTAATAATTTCTATTGTTTTCTCCCTGGTTTCTCTCAGGCTGGAAACTGTCACTGCCTTTTCCAAGCAGCTACACTCTTCCTCAGTCCCTCTTTGGACAAAACTACTCTAGCTTTAGATCTTAAGTTTTATCACTTAAATAAGACATCTTCTTTGCATCTTGCTGACAACATTTGATCAAGAAAAATAACGAAAAAGATAGTAAAAAGGCTTGTTTTCCTTTTTAAGTATTTTTCTAGCCAGCTTTTATCTTTATAAATAAGCCACAAATTTAACTACTTTACTAAACCATGGCGGCATTTTAATATCACTATTGGTTTTTCTGGCATCAAAAGCAACAGCAGTGAGGATCTCTGACCAAAATCACCTGAAGTAACCCCTTGACTGCAGACAGCGTACTCTAAAATGTTGCTTTAAATAACATTCAACAAAAGCCAGCAAACGATTTTAAATTAAGAAACAACTATATGCTCCACATGATGGTAGTGGGTAGACGAATGTTAAAAACGGCAAGTAACTTTCTTGGAACCCTGTTTCTGAGACATCTGTAATGTTTCTCTTCTACTCTCAGCACCTCACTTCTGATGCCAGGTGTGTGGGTCTTCGCACACATCGAGTGATTCCACAATCTCCGTGGACCCAGCTGGGTGTCCCATCATTTAACTCAACTCTGACACTATCTACCTGGAGACAGAATCAGCCCCCACAGGTGAAGGGCTCAGGCTCCCAAGACCATCCCAACTTCCGATGCCAATCTCAAGTCCACTCCGTCATCTATGATCCTGACAGACCATAAACTGGAGGATCCACAGCCCCCTCCTTGGGTTTAACCACTTCCCAGAGTGGCTCACAGGGCTCAGGAAAACAGTTTACCTACTAGATGACTGGTTTATTGGAGAGGATACAACTCAGGAACAGCCAGAAGGAAGAGAGGCATGGAGCCAGGTGTGTGGGGAGGGGCAAGGGGCTTCCACGCCCTCTCCAGGTGTACCACCCTCCCCAGGTGTACCACCCTCCCAGCACCGTTCCACCTGTTCACCCAGCTTTCAGAATCCCAACTTCAAAGATTTTTATAGCAGCCACATTACACAGGCATGTTGATTAAATCATCAGCCACTGGTGACTGGACTCAATCTCTAGCCCCTCTCTCCTTCCCGGAGAACAGGTTGAGGCTAAAATTCCCAAGTCTTTAATCCCGTGGCAGGTTCCCCTACTAACAAACCCATTTTAGGGTCATCCAGGAGCTTTCCAAAATCACCCCAGAGACATAAACTCAGGTGTGGTTGAAAAGAACTTGTTATGAATAACAAAAGACACCCATTTCTGCTTTACTACAGTTAACACTTAGGAAATTCCAAGAGTTTCAGAAGCTGTCTGGAAGAAAGCATGGATAAAGACTAAGATACATATTTCTTATTATAAATCATGCTATCACAGGCCTAAAATAAAATATGAAAAAAATATTGCAAAAGGCAGCAATGAAAAAAAATATACAGAAGTGCATGATGTAACTGGTAGTTCCAAGAAGATTGGAGGGCTATGAGATCTTTGTAATCAGGGAAACTACAGAAGGAGCTAGGCCTCAGCTGTGTAAGAGGGCGGAATGGTATTCAGGAGACAGAGAGGAAAGCAGGACACAGGAGAGGACAGGGTGAGCCTGGCAAAGAAGGAGCTCACATCTTGGGTTAAAGACACCCAGAGTCTCGTTGTAGTTGTGCTGGAGTTTTGGTCGTTAGGGGTAACTTCTGAAGTCCTCAGTTGTTTTTCATTCTTTCTCCGGATGTCTCTCCCACAAAAAGATCTGACTAACTTATCTGTAGAATCCATTGTAGAACGAAGACTGTGGACTCTGGAAACATGAACTAAGGTATACTCAGGAAGAGGTAATAAGGACGTAAGTCAGTTTGGGAGGAAGGGTTTATATTGGAAAATCATGCATGCCTTAACAAGTTCTGTGTGACCAGGGGCAAAAGAAGCTAGCGTGCGTTCATTTTAACAGAGTCGTATTCAGGAGATCCTGGATGGTGGGACATCATACTGGGACCAGAAGGACTAGCAACAAGGAATTGAGAGAGAATGCCCTGCGGTGGTACGGGAAAATGAGAAAATAAAGGACAGATATAATATTTCCAAAGAAAACAACATTTGGAGAGAAGGGAGTAAGAGTAAAGATATCAACCAACCTATTCCAAGGTACTGACACACAGGCACTGGTGACGGAAAGAGGGAAGCAGGATACAATGGCAGACATCCATTCCTGCCCTCCTCGGCAACCTCTGCTGTTCGAATAACAGCATCTGGGTTTTCTTTACAACGTCACCCAGACGTCACTCCTAATGCACCTGATTCCCGAGAGGCAGGCGCCGCGCTCTGACACCACGGGTGGACGCCTAACTCGGTGAGACTCGGGTCCGGCACTTCTGCTGGAACGATTCATTCACATAGTCATTCATTGATCCATCCACTTACACATTCACTCAGGGAATTCCTGAGAGCCCGCTAGGCACCAGATACTGTCCAAATCGTTGCCGACACAGGTGTCAACGATGCAGAGTTTCCGTTCTCATGATGTGAAATGACTAAAGTGCGTGGTCCGGCGTACAAAGTGGGACCAACAATAAATCACCTACAATGAATACGTGTACTGCTTGTGCTGAGCTGCATATAAGCTGCTGCATATTATACACACACTTTTATTGGACTTCACTTTATTGTGTTTTGCAGATACTGTTTTTTAAAAATTGAAAGTCTGAGGCAACACATTGGCACCGTTTTTCCAACAGCATTGGCTCGCTCCGTGTCTCTGTGTCACATCTGGTCATTCCTGCAATACTTCAGACCTGCTCTGCGGTGTTATGCTCCCACTGTGATTCGTGATCGGGAGCCTTTGATGTCAGTACGTCATTGTTTCGGGGCACCACGGACACCCCTATGAGACAGCAAACGTAACCTGTAAATGCTGTGTGTGTTCTCGCTGCTCCACTGCCTGGCCGCTCCCTGATCTCGCTTCCTCTCCTTGGGCTTCGCTACGCCCTGACACACAGCAACATTGAAATCAGCCCAGTTCACAACCCAGCAATGACCTCCAAGTGTTTAAATGAAAGGAGAAGTCAGTTGAAGCAGCAAACTTCATTGTTATCTTATTTTAAGAAACTGCATCAGACACCCCAGCCTTCAGCAATCACCACCTTAGTCAGTTAGCAACCACCCACATCAAGGCAAGACGGTCCACCAGCAAAGCAATCACAGCTCCTTAAAGGCTCAGATGATGGCTAGTATTGCTTTAGCAATAAAGTGTTTCCACATTAAGATGTGTCTACTTTTTTAGACATAATGGTATTGAATAAACTACAGTATGATGTAAACAGAACTTTTACACTGGTTTACTGGGAAACCAAAAACTTTAAGGGGCTCACTTTACTGTGATATTCACTTTATCGAGGTGGTCCGGAACTGAACTCAGAATTTCTCCCAGGTGTGCTGGTCGGTATATTAAAGTATC